CATCCCCCCTTCTTCTCCTCCTTCTGCTTCCCTCGTGTCACGAGTGGCAAAACCCCTGTTCTATGTATTTCAGAATCACCCGGAACTCGACTTAACCGGTGCCTTGAAGCAGCGAAGAGACCAGCAGAACAAAACGAATTATAGGCATAAATTTGAGGAACTGTGACACCGTGGTGCTCTTTAGAGGCAACTGAAAAAGGTAGATTCATACCGACCGGTGCAGATCTATCTTTTTCAATTTTTCGAGCATCACTATCGATATGTTTATATTGCAGTTACTACTATGGACAACGCCTGGAACGAGTGCCATATTTTCTGGCGACACCATCCAACGCTAGTTATCGAGAGGGCTCAGCTGTTCGGCTTACTTGTGAAGCTACTGGTAAGTTAAAACTTCATACAAAATATCTCCATCGCTAAACTACTGACCACTGCGAAGCGGGGCATGCAGCTGAGTGTCATCAGCGACACCATTTTAGTCCCTCTTACTGTGCGCTACATTAACCGTCACGTTCACATTGAAGCTTCTTCCAAAGTCATCTTAACCAGTGAATAACGCTCTCTACAAACACAACTTGCTGAAAGCCGTATTCAGCCACTGTCAGCAAAAAAAGCGACGAGACTCTAGTAACAGTTTTCACTTTCCATACTTCGTACGCACGCTGCTCATTTAACAGAATTTTGCAGGACTCGTGTTTATCAAATAACAAAAATTTCGATTTTTTCGAAAGCACATTTTCATTTTTATTAAACTTGCGTGAAAATTTCATGAGCCCAAATTTCTTTTTATTTTACAACTTTGTTAAGCAAAGCCACGACCAGTGATGGCTTGGTATTTCAATGGCGAGCAAATCACTTCAAACCGCAAGTATTCCTTAAATTTGGACCATTCTGTGCTCAACATCTATCCATTCCAGAAAAGTGATGTTGGAAAGTAAGTTGGTTTCTTTTGGCTTCAAAAGATATTCTCCACTCAGGAAAAGAAGGAAATTTTTTCCCAATCACCCGCTGCATGAATGCGGGAAAATTTACGGATTTTTGGCCCAACGTGCGTCTCCTTTTCCTGTTTGCTGCATCTTCACCCTGCCTGCACTTCGCAAATTGGATCCACATATATGCATATACGCATGCGGTTTCCTATCACTGAATTTTAAAATGGATTTCTCAGACACTCAAGCACCATTCTGGATAATTTCCTTCGGCGATGCGTCCAGTATTTTGCCCTTCTCTCCCGTTGGGTAACCAAAGAAGGTGCTTCGTCCTGATGATAAGTTCTTGGATTTATTCCCCAGAGTATTTGATATAAAAAGCCTGTCGTGCTTTTTATCTATTCCTGTTACAGGTAATTTCTCATCAGTAAAGTTTCGACTGATAAATAAATAAAGTTTGTTTTAATTTGCTTCAGTGAGGTTACTATCAGTGCTGTTCTTCATGGTAATAAAGCAATCGTGCGTCTTCCTCTCTCTTGGGGAGTTATTGAGATCTTCACTCTGTACACTTAGGGAGAGTCGTTACGATGCTGGTGCATACCGGGCTCATTGAGAATAATTTGTCTGCAAAGCTGTGATAGAGGTGCAACTCACTGAAGTTGTCATCATGAACTTGAAATCATCCTCAATAATTCAGGTATATTTGCACGGCAACAAATCGCAACGGTCGAGTGCAGCATTCATTCGAATTGCAGATTCTCAACAACTCAGCGCCACTGATCGTTGACAGTCCAGAATCAAAGGTGGTTAATCCAGGTGAACCGGTCGTACTGTTTTGTCGAGCCAGTGGGCAACCTCCTCCCACAATCAAGTGGTATTTTGATGGTGTTGAAGTCGCACGCAACGATCCACATATTGAGGTTGTCTTTTCTTGAGCATCAGTGACCCTGGTCTAAGCGAATTGTCAGGCACTTTGCAGTAACTCAAGTGATTTAAGCTAACTCGACGGGATACCGAGCTGACAATCATCCATGCCACTCGCGAAGATGAGGGAGTTTATCAGTGTATGGCGCGTAATTCACTGGGTGCAGCAACCGCCGAAGCTACGGTGAAAGTTTATGTGCCAAATCAGCAGGCCCTGGATGAATCGCTAACCAGCGAACTCCTCTCAGACATTGTTAAGCAGGCGAGGCAAAACGTTGACAGGTTGGTTCTGCCCAGCGAGTTGCAAAATTAAACACGTAACTTGAGAGAACGAAGTGTTTTTTATAGGCTGAATTTACAGCAAAAGGAGGTCACATCCCAGTTTTGGTAACAGCATCTTCTGATCTTCACTAGTCAAAAATTTTCAACTCTTTTTTGGTCGTTTTGTGCGTTAAATTTTATGGTCGTGCACTCAATTTAATTGCTTTTTTAACACAGTCACTCGCCAGCTCAATTTTAATGTTCATTTGATCACTTTTTAATATCTGTTTGGCCAGCTGTTTTCTTTTTTTTATAATTTAGAACAAATAACTAAAACAACTCA